TCCTGATCTCATACCACATATGGAAATATTGCATTTTATTAAGATGAAAATAATAAAAAAAATTAATTTGATATATTGCATCCAATGCTCCCTACTTTAATCCACCCCACAATATCAATTCAATATTCTACTAGGATCATGAAAAACTCCTGCGGATTGGTAAACTCAGAGAAGTCTGAGGCCCAACATTAAGTGCACTGTGTCAGTAAAAAAAATTAAAAAAAGAAATAAGTAAACTCCAATAACAATGATGAGCTCAAAAGAGAAGGCATAAAATTTCTGGAAGTAATTTTAAAACGTAGACTGAGTGGTAGGGTCATGTAGTCATTACAGTGAAAGGCCATGACTCAAACTAATCTCAAACTGAACTCATGGCACATGACAATCCTAAACTCACATTTACAGCTGAAACTGTGACAGAACGTAAAGAAAAAAATATTATTCTGAAATGGATAACATTCTGCCTGGTTGACATTGTCATTTAATTTATTCTCTTTACAGCAGCACAGTTGTGGGAGAAAGTAAGTGAACTCTTTGAATTCACCTGGAGTCTTTGCACAAACTGGTCAAAAATAGTATATATGATATTCAAGTTACAATATAAACAACACATTTAAACATTCACAGTGCAGGAAAAAGTATGTGACCACTTTCTTCTGCGAAACACAAAAAAGACATTTTGAAGAATGTTTCATCTGTTTTTGAGCATGGTGCCCAAAACAACAATGAAACTCGTATGGGGGGGAAAAAATCACTGAGAATTTTTTCATGTCCCACAGAAGAAAGAAAGTCATACAGGTTTGAAATGACATTAGGGTGCGTATTTTTTCTCTTTGGTGTTAAGCCCTTTATCTGAAAATCTGATCATTTTTCATGATCAGGTAATGCCACAACCCACAACATTTGGATTCAGATCAACACCTGCTTCAAAGGAAAAAAAAGAGCAAAAAGAGAGAGCAAAGTTACTTGAGAAAGAGCAAAGTCTGTTTTTGTGTATAAATGTTTAAATCTTCATTCATCTGTAAAGAAATGTCTAAATATCTAATCAGATGATTTATATAATTGTTATTTATGTGTCTTTGTGGTGAGTGGTTTGCCTTTGACGTTTTAAATATGTGTGACATTCTGAAATTTTGCACATTTGGCTGGAGAGCAGAGTTCACGTAAGGGTCTCTGTGCTAGCCATCAGCAGGACTGGATGCATTAGCATTAGCAGTTGTGCAGGCCAACAGGTCAGCATCCATTCTATTTACCCCCCATTTCAGCAGATGACATAGATAACATCTGGCTGGATTCAGCTCTAAATCCATAGGTATGATGGGCTAATAAGCCTGCTAGCCACACTCTAGGGAAAACCGTTTTAAAGATGCGTGCTAAACACTGAGATAAATGCTCACTATGTTTAATGTGCATTTAGATACTTGAAATGGTCATACGTTTACTGTGCATGTTTAATGTATATATGGGTAGTAACCTGAGAACATTATATATATATATATATATATATATATATATATATATATATAAGTGATAAATAGCATGACTATGGCAGGAAC